TTATTATCAGTTTTACATTTGTTAAATTACTTCATAATTCTACGTACTACACACTTGCATTAATATGATTATTAGATTTCATCCTTTAACTATACGTATACACTTTATGTCCCCTTAGCCTGATTCACATACCGAACATGTATTCCTTCATTTAAGGCAGCTCTCCTGAGATCTCAACTCTCTTTTTTGACAATACATACTGTGTACTTACACTCCTTGGTGAAAGTTTAAAGCTACATTACTTAGTAACCCGGGGGCTGCTATCAACACTGTCATATTATCACATATTATCACCTAATAAAGTTCTCATGATGAACATGTTGAGCAAACTAATTCCCCTCCTGGTGGACCACCATAAAAAACATGGGAGGTAGTCAAGGGCAAGAGATAAATGTTGTTTTCACCCTGTTTGAATGGTGCCTTGAATTCCACATATTTTGGTAATTTATAAGATTTCATAGAGACTGATTACATTAACAATTCCTCTTATCGATTCAATTCTTTGTGATTCCAGTACATACATGAAAGACATCCAGAAACTATTTCAACTGTTCCAAAGTCAGTGTAAACGGTCAAAAATTATAAATTTGATCCTTCTTTGGCCTCTAATGCGAAAAAACACACCAAATAATGATTGCATTTTTGTTAAAATATTTCTTTTGAATTAAAGATAATAGTAGTAGTTGTAATGATGTATTATGAGCTGCTTAGAACAAGTGTGAGGAAGTTAAACAGGTTGTTATTCCCTTGATTCACATCCCTAACGATGTCTGTCAATTAGAAAGATCATTTTGCACGTCGAGAAATGTGCAGTTTGTCGTAAAACTGTTGAGGTATAAGACCTTGAAAATGTGTAACTACAAAGACTACACGACCAAAACCGTAATTCATGGCACAATTCAAACGGGGTCAGTGAAATTATTAGCCCCCCCCAATGCCAAACATACATACATAAAAATACGTAATAGATTTTATATATATATACATAAATAAAAAGGTCCCATCGGGTCCCAAATCTAACTACGAGCAACTTTCACTCAACATATAAATGTAATTTATCCTCGATTCAGAAATACTGCGCAGTCTTTTTTTTCTGCTAAAACTGTGGTTTTTATTTGGTTGTTTTGTTTTCGTCGAGAAACGAGTCATGCTGCTGTGGTGTCTGCATCACAAAGATCCAGCAGCACTATAACCAGGCACTCGGGCCACGTGTCCTCCTCACCGCCCAAAGGGAAGCCATGGATCGGTCGGTCTCGCTCGGCAGGCTTTTCAACAACACGGCATGTTGTGATGCTCGGAGAGCGGCTCTGGAGGATCCAGCCGGGGACGGCTGCTTTACAAGTGGTCAGGGCTGCATTGATTGAAGGTTTATACGATCAATGCTATCAAAGCGGGTTTTAGGAGGGTCACCACATGAATGTCAATATCCCACGAGCCAACCTGTGTCACAATGACCATCTCTCCCCCGTAAACTAATGCTTATGTCGCTGTGTGTGTGTGTGTGTGTGTGTGTGTGTGTGTGTGTGTGTGTGTGTGTGTGTGCGTGTGTGTGTGTGGGTGTGTGACTCCCCGTGGCTCTAGCTCACAATAAAGGGTCGGCATGTTTTAAAGATCACTGGAAAATGAGCACAGTGTGAATTGTGAACTGCACAAACAGAGAATGCAGCCACTGTAACTGATGTAGTCTCAGGCTGAAATTAAAGAAAATGTATCCCTTCATTTGTTAACTTTTTGTTGTCATTGGATGTCTTTGTTTTGGTGTTTGCAGAAATTAAAAAAGTTGCTTTATGGGCTCTAGATGCATCAAAAAAACGAAATCTAACCCCTGAGCTTAAAAAAGCCTATTAGTCTTTCATATGATGTAATTGGGTTGGTTGGGTCTGGATGCCTCCATACTGAATGGGATGATCGATTGATCCGTTAAGGCCCCTGCGGCAAAATGAAAGCAGCCGATAAAAATATTGGAAATGAAAAAGGGGAGATTTGTGCAACACAATGATACACTAAAGCTTAAGAGTCTCGACGGATGGACCGATGGAGCCCCGTCGAATACCTGATGCTGTTGGAAAATGTACTTTTTATTCGTCTTCCGTTGGCCGGAGAGTTGAGGTTTTTACTTTGTAGCCTGTAGTCTCTGCCTGTAGGGTTGTGGCTGAAACCGAGTACGTGCGTTTGAACTGCCAGCGCCTCACCTGGTGTCGGTGCAAGCAAACGCAAGGTTAGTCATCTATTATGGATGAGCAGCCGCGGCCGGTGGAGGACACTGTGGTCACCTTGTTGGATGTGAATGCACGGGGTGGAAGCTTTGAACCCTGCATGAGGGAAAAGTCCAACTTTAGAACAGTGCTCTTCAAAAATAAAAAGAGTACAACTGTTGAAAATGACTCACTTCTCGGTTTAAATTGGCTTCAATACTGCATTTGGTAGGACCGTGACAGCTAATTGTAGTCCTCAGGTAAGACTGTATTCTGGCTGGAGGACCAGACGCTTTCCTGGCCTCGGATCCCGAATTTGGTGCAGTTCATTGAACCCGATTCCCCTTCAGGATTAGGACAATAATAAGTCTGGCTTGTCCAAACTCATCCATTAGACATAAGCAGTCTCGTGGTGGGCACGGCCGCCAGGCAATGAACCGTGGCAGATTAAACGTTCTGCTTTCTGGCTGGGGTGTGCAGACCTGGGACCGTTTCAAGCCCGTTCTATGTGGCTGATGAAAAAAGAACGAGGCGGTGTAAATGTTAACAGAAAGGATTTCATTTTAGCGACTTTTGGCATGCTGATAGTGGAATTTAGATGCTTGTACTGTATACAGTGTCATTGAACTTTGAACTGGTTTTCTGATCTGACCTACACAAGTAAACGAGACCATTAGCGGAAGAAGACTCGTCATCTGCAGGTTCACCAGGAACTCCTTCTGCTCAGACTCCAATGAGGCGCCGCCGGACCGCCACGGGCAGACCCGGATCCGGCTTTGCTGCCGCGTGTGACCTGCAGTCGGAGCTCCGGCACGAGGAAGAGATTCTGCTTCCCTATGCCGAGCTTCACGCTTCTGCTTTGTGCCTAGCAGAAGCGTCTCCTCCACCGGCCAGGGGCAGAGCTTCACCTTGCTGACCGTCAACTACACCGACACCACGCTGCTGGAGGTCCGGGCCGTATTGCTGGACCCGCTGGAGGGAAGGGAGGCTCAGAAGCCTGCTGCAGAAAAATTTCCCCAAAGGACTCTGGTGCTCAGAAACACGACCACCTTCGTGCACAGGAACCGCCACAATCAGCACAAAATCAAAGTTCCTTGTAATAACTTAAATCAACGATTAATCAGCAAATATGTTTTGAGGTGGCAACCTGAGGAGGGCTCTCTCTTCACTATCAAATAATAGGCACAAATTATGATCTAAATAAAGAAATAAAAGGTCACAAAATGCCTTATTAAAAGCACCAAAAGAGCAGTTTGCCCTGTTGGAGTGATGTCTCAGCAATTACCTTGATGGGTACAATGTTATCATTGCTTGAAGACAAGGTGAACTAAACAGGAATAACCCAGACGTTCACCCTGTTTCCTCCCTGCTGTTTGTTGCATAAGCATACACCAGAAAGGTTTGGTAAGATGCTGCTGACACCTCAAGCAATTGAGACATTCACAGCTGCATCCCGAAGCGTCCCAAGCGTCTACCTGTGCTGACTACCGCTGTCCTGTACTCTCCCAAGACAGGCAACAGAAAGCGGCCCAATGACAGCAGGACCCCCCCCCCCCTTTTTTTTCATCCATGAGGAGTTGAACAAGTGACACGGCTTTGGATTTATAGGTCGGAGGCCTCCAGCAGGGTGGCAAGCTCCAGAGGGGGAGCCGGGCAGCGCAGCGGCAACGTGGCTTCCATCTGTTGTCATGGTCTGCTCTGATCTGCATGCTAATCCTTCTCTGCCCACACCTTCATGCAAATCACCACCCGTGGCAGCGCTGCAGCTCTTTCAGGGGGAGGAATTAACGGAGCGGGGGACCCCAAGATGGGACGTGAAATGCATATAGAGAAGGTCAACGCTCGAGTATGTGCGTCCAGTGGATCGTCTCGATGGCCAACACGCAGAGGAGTGGTCAAGGACGGTCATTCGTCTCAAGGTCTGCGACGTCAGCGCGGCGCCCTGACTCCTCTCGGCAGATGTGGCTCCCAGCAAACGTCTACCCGAGCTGACTAATCATTTACGTGTGCAGCTATAATATGCTTTCAATGTCTGAAAAACACGCATCATCCATCAAAGCGCGGTTGTAATGTCTTTGGGCTGGGATAAAAAAAAGGCACTGGGAGTAGGTGTGGCATATCTAAGATCTAATAAATATACATTTGCTCATGGGGGGAGAGAGCAGAGCTGCGAGATCTAAGGATTCATTTCCTACTCTGCTCGACATAGCAGATAAGGTTTGATACAGTGCGATCAGGCCAAAATCTGCATTCTACCACCGAAATGTACAACTTTAGGGATTGCGTGTTCCAAAGAGAAATACTAACTTTTAGTACAGTTACAGTTACAGAAGAGGCACAGCGCTGGTGAATGCTGCACATGTAACACACGTTTGATGTTTTGTGTCTTTGTACGCAGCCCCTACGTTGTTTTTTTGCAGTTAATTTACAATCAGCAGTCAAGTGTCGGACCATCTTTTTTGGAGGACATGCTACACGTTTGGACTTTTCGCAGCCATGGTGACAGACAGAGGAAGGGTACATGTTGTGTTATCTCAAAGATGATTTATCTGACTGTGTTTCAGCTTCAGGGAAAATAACTCATAACTAAAATAACTTTATATATTTAAATCCATCTTAATGAAACAGCAAGAAATGGGGAGAAAAAAAGCCATTTCTTTTCTTCATCCTTTTAATTTAGCAAATGAAAGAATTTGGCCATTTAAAAAGTTCTTTTGACTGCACGTCAAGAGAAAAGATCTGGTGATATTAGACGTCAAGAAGCGTTTTCTATTTTCAGCTGCTTTTGGGAACAGAGCGTTTTACCATGACAGAGATGTGCAGGATGCGGAGCTCCTCCTTCGCCGAGTTGTTGGCCGGGTCCTCGGTGGGCTCCGGGAGGCTCAGGCTGCCGTCCTGGTGGTGGATGTGGAAGAGCAGGGTGCCGTTCTCCAGCCACTGCTGCCTCCAGCGCACCATAGGGATGTCCTCGGAGTTCCCGGAGATCTCTGCCGGAGACAACAGACGGAACAAAGGGGACAGGATGAGAGGCCGTCCACTGACGTGCCACAAATTAGTACTGAACGTCATGACCAATGGAATCTCAGCAAGTGACCAGAAAACAGACACGTCGTGGTGATGGTTGAATGTCAATAGATGTGATTCAACCTTTGAATGTGATACAGACTTTTAGATATCGTAACATGGCATATGTGTCTTTTCCTGGTTTTAAAGACTGCATTACAGTAAAGTGATGTCATGTTATTTACCATCATATCCACATTACTGATTATGTAAATACTTTAAAAAAAAAACATTTAACATTGTCACAATATCGATAGAGAACTTTGATTAACATTATTGTAATATTTATCATATATTATATATTTGGTGATCCCTGACATTTCCCCTATAGTGTAACACAATGGTTTGACACGTTTTGTTATTCATTGAAACAACAGCTGTGACATCTGGGAGAGTTAACTATGTTTCCTTGACGATGTATCCTCCTGACTTCTTGAATAGCGCCACCAGCGGGTCAGAGACGCCACTCATCCAGTGAACTACCTCAACGTCTACTGGAGATGAATTGGCACAAGATTAGTACAGACATTCATGGTTCCCCGATGATGTATCCCAATGACACCATGAGGTCATGTTAGAGAGTCAGCTGTATTCTGTGTTTAGTGCTGATGAGCAAATGTTACCGTGCCAACCCACAAACGCAGCCAGACCGCGACACGGGAGACGGAACCGCAAAACGAGACCGTGGACGTTTGTGTCGAGTCTCGGTTTCAGAACCTTAAACCCCTAGTTTCCATTGTTGTAATCAGTCATTTGATTTCATTATTATATATTATTAATATTCATTTGATTAAATTCTTCTGTACACTCTTTTGTAGTGCTTCTCCTACATGAGGCTGACAGGGTGGACACATACATGGTGGTCAACTGCATGCCACAGATAGTCAGTACCAGCTCTATCAGCTGAGAGAGCTCATATCTGTGTTCAGAAGAACCAAAAGCAAGAAATGATGAAACTCAAGAGGGAGAGATGAGTAAACAGAGATTTTTCGGGAGCGGCGGAGCATCAGAAACATTGTGCTTCATGTCACACCTCGGCTTCCTTAGACACAGCACTCCTCGCTGTTTGAAATATTAGTGATGCACACACACACACACTGTGCAGAGATGGAAAAACATTAGGAATGCATGACGGAGATTTGTGTGTGATTCTCTGTTGTGTAAGTGTGAAGAGTAGCGGAGATGCATTAGGCTCCTGAGTCAGGAGACGCAAGAGCGCTGACGGGGAGATATAAATCGAAACAGAGATCACAGAAAGTGCAACCGGGACTCTCCATGTTGAATTCCACCTCATATTCCACAAAACATAGTTCTGCTGCTACGGAATGAAGCTGGACTCACAGCACACAGTGAGCAAGGATTTGGTTATTGCAGGTCAAAGGATATATCTACATAGAAATTGGGCAAAAGGTTTTGTTCAGCTCCTTCAGTGACTAAATTTCAATGTGTAGCAGGATTCTACATTAAAATGTGGTAATCGAAATGCTGCTCAAACAACGGTTACATGAACCAGAAATACACTCAACCAAAGGAACAAGAGCATTCCCTTCCTCTACAATACGGCTGAACTGTGCTGCAGAAGCATTTTGCACTAATGTAGGAAAACAAATCTCTTGTAGGGGAGAGAAGAACTTGATTCTTAGACGCATCACGATTCTCTCTTGAACGACTATGACTCGATGCAGAAAACTCAATAATGGGAAATTTAAAACTCAATTCTCAGCGTTGTGATGGCCTGAAACAGTTCTGTGACACCGGGCTGTCCGTTCTTTAACCACTGCCCCTGAATGCAACAGACATAATACACGTTATCTTGTTTACGTGCTACGCTAGGCTACATGCGAGCAGACATAATACACGTTATCTTGTTTACGTGCTACGCTAGGCTACATGCTAGCAGAGTTCTGGTGAATATGGAAACGATGTGACCGACTCCTCCTGGATTAAAAGATAACAGATGGAAACATTTCACTTCTTCTTCTTCTTCCAAACTAGCAGAGAGTGAAGTGAACCAGGAAGTAGACTGAAACTATTTGTAACTCTGAGAAGCAGAGCTTTCTGCGTTGAACTCTTTGAACCAAGACACACCACCGATCCCTGTGTTGATGGACTCAGAGACTCTAGAACCAAAGCAGAGCTGAAGTCATGGAGTCAGTGAGGAAAGAGCTGAACCACATGTTCACAAAGAGCTGCATGCTCATTGGTTAGAAGAGAAGTCTTTATTACTTATTAGCTCGTTATGTCACATGACTCACAACATGATGAGTTCTGTGTTTTTACAGGAAACATTTGATTTATTTTACTGTTCTCTTAATGCTCTAAATGTTGATTCCTCTCTTCTATTTGTTACTAATATTGAATTAATAAAAGATAATGTTAATAAATTCATCTGTTTTTAATCATGAATCATTATAAATATGCTGTGTTTTATAAAAAAAGCAGATAGACACAGTGAGAAAAAAAAACATCAAGATGGATCAAGAAGAATCGATAATGGTTTAATAATCGAATCATAGCTCTCTGAATCGAATCGTGAGGTACCTAGAGAC